TTTTCTCAGTGTAGTTTATTGCATAATTTTCTTATTTAAATACATGAAAATTGTACACATGTTTATAATAATTGCATAAGTATATGGTATTTTTCAAAATTTTATTTTCATGTTATTTTGGAAGATAAAACATTGCCAATGATGCAATTTGTACAGCGAAGCCCTAAAATAATTTATCATACTACACGAGAGCTTGGGGGCTTCATTCACGCGTTAAAGTCAATCGATACTTTGAGTATGCACTTTTCACTGGTGTATACAATCTACCGAAAGGTACTTGTCGAAGTGTAGTTTTTAAAAGTCAATCGCTGCATCATTATTTCGTTATAAGTAATATGTAATAATTTAACAAAATATTTATTTACAATTTTATTAGCATATATATGTTGGGATATAATAATTATTTGTTTATTATGCCTTTAATTACTAAAAATAATTTTTAATTAAAAATTTATGTACTTAAAAAAAAGGCAGGTTTAATATTTTATAATATATTACATATTTTTAAAATATATTATAAATATATTTTTATATTCCACCGCGTAATATCATACAAAGAATTAAATGTATATATTGCAAAATAGAGGTAAAATATAAGGTTATTATCTCTAAGCGCCATTCTCTTTTGAGATCTACTTTTTTGATTTATGGAATAAGGTACGATTGCAGAAAAGGACAGAAAAAGACTACAGATATTCTTTTATAGATCAATGCAATAGATCAATAAGGCGAGTCTCTAACGCATCTCCAAATATAGATCAACATTCCAAAAGGATGCTATGACATATATGTAAAGTTTCATTAAAATCAGAATTTTTGAATTTTTCTATTAATTGTCACTAGGAAAATATTTTAACAAATGCATTCGTATCCAATGTCAGATTTGTACTGACTTCGCTCAGAGTTTATATTTAAGTATACAATTGTTCTACCACGATACCATTCTTTTATTGATTAATCGCAAGCTTAGCTCTCGAAAAAATACACGGCTTCTAAATTTGTTTTTTTTAGAAAATATTTTTAAGAATTTTGTAAATAGTTTAACAATCTTCTATTAGTTCTCTCTATTTTCATGTAGCTTTTATGTTGATTAAAAATAAAGAAAAAAACCTTCTAGTTACATTTCATGATAAATTTTTTAAATTGTCTATTTATTTATTTTTAATGTTTCTTAAAAATTTCGGGTAAGACAACGTTTAACGATAAAAAATTGTTGTAATTGATAAAAAAATCAAAAAGAATTTTTAGCATTGAAAATTAATTTAAACAAGATATTTTATTAATCTTAAATTTTATGTATTAAAGAAATCGATATTCTAAAATGAAAGCCATTAATAATTTTTAGGAAGAGAAATATGCACTTTTACCTTTAAAGCATGAAATGACATGCATTACTGTTAATAATGCTTTCGTTACAAAATATTGATATATGAGAAATAGTATCGCTTGTCAAAATGAAATTGTATCATCGTATACGCAAAGAGGAAAACGTTAAATACGACTGACTCGAAATTGGGAAGGGTTATATCTCACTCGCTTTCTTCATAAGCCTAAATAAATAATCCCACATTCAAATGCAATTGTGACTGGATGAAATAAACTAAATAAAATTAAAAGTATTTGTTTTTTTCTAAATTATTTTATAAATTATTATATATAATAGTATCATCTTGAATATTATATCGATTTGTAATACAATTTTACATAATATTTATATTTGTGCATCCAAAAAGTTAATTAGCGAGAGAAAATTATACATGAAGATAAATGCCCTATAATTAAAAATCTAATAATAAATATAATTTTCTCATAGGAAATTTAGCTTTTATGTTAAAAAGGATATAATTTAAGTTTATTTATTATTAGTCTGTTGACATTATATTTAAATTTTTATTTTCTAAAATATTATGACATTTTTTATTTTGTTAATATTCAAGGGATTACTATTTTGTAATATTTTTATGTAACTTCATTAAGATTGTGCAAATTGTTATTTATTATTGTAGATAGTGTCTTGGAGCAGTAAATCATGGATTCACAGGACTTATCATCGTTCCCGGCTTCATCACGCTTGCGCTATCAAAACTTGTACACTGAGCGCGCGGCTATATAAAAGCAGCCACTTGTTGAGCGACACGCATTCCGTTGATTCGCTTCCGTCGCGGATATATCCTGCTTGAGGACGAAAAGGGGAGCAAACATCTGACAGGTGGCTACGACGGTATTTCCCGTATTGTGCAACTTCAAGTCATATTTCCAGCTCAATTCGTCACGAGAGTGATCAACGTAGGATTTTCCATCAGGTCAGCGATTAAACCATATTAACAAGTTAGCTAAACCGAATTAACATTTATTCGAAGAGTAAACTAGTTTCAGACTAAGATTCTAAATATAAGTATAAATTAATTGTAATATTGTTTTTTTAGTACAAAGTTATTATGAATATTATAATATTATTATATATTACAAATAGAAATTTATTGGTAAAAGTAAAATGATTTCTGTTATTGTATTGCATTTATTATCATTGTTAACATAAAATGTGGCAATAAAAAGATAAGACATAAGTAAATCAGATATTTTTAAATTAGAATAATAAATAATAATTTCATGGAATTAATATGGAATTAATAGTAGAAAGAATTAACTTGCTAAATATTATTTAATAATCTTTTTATTTCCGATTTTTGTATATAGTTTATGATATATGAATATATTTATCAAGATAACACAAAACTCAAAATTAATATGGGGCATTTTTTAGATGTCTTATGTTTCAATTTTAAACTTTGCGTTATTCTGGATTTGGTCGAAATAAATTGATAGACAAACATTGATATACAATTTAAATTAACATCCTTATAATAGGAAGAGTTTTCGATTCGTATAAAAAATGTTATTTTAATCATGATAATTATTATTTAGAGACATTTTTTTCTTTTTTAATTTTATAATTAAATAAATCAAATGTTGAAATGTTGACATTTAAATTAATTAAATAAAATTAAATTTATAGCGAAGAGAAATATGTAATAATATTATTCTTAACATTTAGATTGTATTGATTTATCTTATGATTTTTAGTCACCCATTATAATCAATTATTTAAAATTATGACGTAGTGAGTTTAATCTGTAAGATTAGCATAACAGTTTAATTGAAAACGTAATAATTTAAAATGTATTTATACACTTGTCGAATTATATATATATATATATATAATTTTTGGAAGAAAGGAATTTACAGAAAAATAATGTATTTAATAGGAATAATTGCAGATAAATAATTGCAGAATTTGATTCATGTGTCAGACTGAAGAAAAACGCATTATATAAAAAAGTTTGCTAAAAGTTTGTTGATGTTAAATATTATACTGTTATAATTCCAATACGTGGCAGATATTAATTTTATATATTATTTTAATATTCATGTTTATTTTTATCAACAATATTATTGAAGTTAAACGATCAAACAATTAAAATAGTCAATTAAGATAAAATTCTAGAGTTATAATTACTTCAAATAAGGCAATAGATAAGTTATATGCTTGTTATTTTCTCTCTCTCTCTCTCT